ATTATAGCTGCGTAGCTAGTTTAGCGTCCTGAGTTGCACTTCAAACATTTTGGGGAAATGAATCCACAAAATTGCACCAGAGGTGAGGTCGGGGTTTACTGTAATTAATAATACTTCCTTCCACTAGAAATTATTTTCTGAAATTATTTTCTGGCCTGTATAACAGTGCAGGTGCTTTTTTTTCTTGTGTGAAAGTAAACGTCCATCGTTGCTTAAAAAAACTGAAGGGAATTGTCACAGTCTCTTCCTAACAGCAAGTTTACTTGCACTATTTTCTTTCCCTTCCTCAGTTGCTCTTGCCTTTCATATATATAAAATTCCATTTCCAGTCTTGACTTTGACTGACCTTGACTTGTCCTCGCTTTCCAGGAGTTAATTGTCTCGCCTACGATGAGGCCATAATCGCTCAACAGGACAGGATTCAGCAGGAGGTGAGGAATCAAATGTTTCTCCTAAGGGGAAAAACACCCAAACACCCAAACCACACTGCTTTGCATTCTGGGTAATTGGCAGCTATCTGGTCGGAATGGCGCCACACTTTTTGTACGCAGACAGTGGAGAGAAGGAAAAAGAGACAAAATGAAAGGAGAGAAAATAAGAAGCTGAAGTCGAGATTATTTTAGCTGCACTAAGAATGACCTTTGTGTTTTTGGTATCAGCTAAAAGCAGTTGTAGTTAACAAATAAATAATTTAATTAAAATAAATTTTCACTGAAGATTTCCAATATTTTCGTGTAGAATTTCTTATGTGCAAATTTGAGAAAATTTTGAGGTAATATTATCCCCTCATCAGAAACGCATCTGTACCGTTAACCCGATTCATTCATGCGGGCTTGAGAAGACCTTTCATCTCTATGGCAACCGTTCAGCTGTGCAAAACGCTCAGTTGGATCTAGCTTCGCCTTCAAGGACAAAGCTCCTCCTCAGAGAAGCAGATTCCAAGCTTCCGAGTTTCTGCCTGGTGGAAATGTGCTGCTGTCGAGCTCATAATAGGAGCTACTTCTCAGAGCAATGCTGGTAGAAACCTTGTTAAGGAATTTCAGAAAGCGCAGTAGTCTCTTAAATAACAGTCAAATTTCGTATTTGATAAATATTGCATTTTTGTTACAACATAGTGACTAGATTGTGCTGTAAAATGCCACTAAAAATACATAATGCTGCCCCTGCAAGAGATATACTGATAAGAATTTTGGAGTTTGTTTGAAGCTTTGACGTCTTTCTCCACCCAGAAACAGCATTTTAGGGTTGGAATATTAAAATAGGCAGTTATACCAATGTTTGAGATGAGGTTCCAACTGTTCGCAGATTGTAAATGCACAGTTGACAACATGTTTAAAAACGTCTGCCTTGGTGCAACTGCAGATTAACTGTATCGTCTGCGCAGATCGCCAACACCAACCCGCTAGTGTCGGACAGACAGGACCTGTCGGTGCTGCAGAGAGAATACGCTGAGGACGACACGGTTTATCAACTCAAGCTCAAGGTCGGTCATACTGTCAGTTCACAGCGTCGGGTTTTACAGCGTGGCTCCAAATTCGTAACCAGCTCCTCTTTATTTTCTGTTTCAGGACCTTTACAAAAAGTACGCGTATATCCGCAAAACACGACCAGATGGAAACTGCTTTTACAGAGCCTTCGGCTTTGCACATCTGGAGTCGCTGCTTGAAAACAGCAAAGAACTTCAGAAGTAAGAGGCATGATGGTTACCATCGGCTTATTAAAATGTTTTTTTTTTCTTAAACCAAAAGGATCCATTTTGGGTTTATACTTTATACCATTTCTCACCTGCAAATTAAACATACATTAATTTAGCTTTTGTCAGGTCACCCTGACGCATCATGTTCTGTGTTGGAATGTTTCCATCTTTAATAAATGTTTCTGTGTTTTTAGATTTAAAGCAGTTGCCGCTAAAAGCAAACTAGACCTGGTTAACGAAGGCTTCACTGAGTTTACCATTGAGGATTTCCACAACACGGTGAGCGTCCCGTTCGCCATTTCACTCCTCAGCTCTGGTCGCTGAAGCTGTCGGGTCGGATTAGACGGAGGGATCAGATCGGCTTCTCAGATCGACAAATCGGCTCCGATTTAGTTTTCCTGTACCGCAGCGCTGTATTGTATGAAGTTGTTTTCATTCGTTCCTTAATTACGCGTTGTGATTTGGATTCGAAGACACAGACATGCATCAAAAAATACTTTATGTTCAAGATTTTCTACTTTGTGTTGTATTCACCGCTTAACAACATTTCTGTTAAGCTCACCTTCAGTAGCTAATGTAGGATTTATTAAGTACATTTAGCTAAAAATAAAAACATATTGGATCTCTGTATTATTTTTATTCAGAATATACAAATTTATTTTTAGATGTTTTGTAGTTGGATTTTTTGTCTTTTTTTTTTTTTTTTTTTGCTAAAGTGCACAATATTTTTTGTCTTCATTTCTTTGTAGTTAATGATTATTTTCTGCCCCCGTCTCTCCTCCTGCCATCCAGTTCATGGACTTGATTGAACTGTGTGAGAAACATCCGAGCCTGAAGGAGCTGCTGAACTCTTTCAACGACCAGAACATGTCCGACTACGTTGTCGTTTACCTGCGCCTCCTCACCTCAGGCTACTTGCAGCGAGAGCATGGCTTCTTCGAGCATTTCATCGAGGGAGGACGTACCATCAAGGAGTTCTGTCAGCAGGTGGGCAGCGTTTGGGATAAAAAGTTATTTTCACAGAGAAACATGATAAAGACAGAAGCTGGAAGTGCACTGATCACGGTTTCCCCCCACCGATGCTGAAAATTGGCTGAAGTGCTAATGGAAAAATTAGCTCTGCTATTAGCGCATTAATAGAATTGAGCCCACAGAAAATAAACTATTTTAACATATATTGTTGCTCAATGAAGGAACTTGAATATTATTAAAGAGGGCTTTAGAATGAACTTATGCAAAATATTTGTGAATATGTTGTTTATTGTCTTTTTGTTGTTGTCCTTCCTCCTTTCCTAGGAAGTAGAGCCTATGTCTAAAGAAAGTGACCACATTCACATCATTGCCTTAGCCAAGGCCCTGAATGTATCCATTCTGGTGGAGTACATGGACAGAGGGGAAGGAGGGTCTGTCAATAACCACATCTTCCCTGAAGGGGGCGACCCCCGCATCTTCCTGCTGTACAGACCAGGCCATTACGACATCCTGTACAAATAACACTCCTGAGCCACGTCGGATCACATCCTCCTCAAACTGCACTCCGCAGGGGGAGCGTTTAAGAAAAAACAAACAAAAAATATCATCAGCTGCCACGTTGATTTACAAATCGCATCTGTGTCTGAGATGATTCTCATTTATTTGGAAATAAAACGATAAGATCACATGCATCTCATTTACCCCTCTTACTCCAACCCCCCCCTCCGTCCCCCAGGCGTCACACAAATGGGTAACGGAAAAACTCATAGTTGGAAAATAGAAGCGACTCCAGCCGATTAGTTGTACAGGTTTTTTTCTTTTTTTTTTTTTCTTTTGTGGTTGTAAATGTTATCTTCTTGCTTTGTTTGATTCTCTTCCTTTGGTACACTGCGTTTCATTGAGTTTTATTAAAGCAATTTACATCTTATTTGCTGCCTTTTCTCTGACTCAGATTCTGCTTCCTTTTTTTTTCAAATCAGAAAAAACGACAAGACCAAAGGTTGTACCAAATGTATCATTTTTCTTTTTCCTGAAAAGTTTTTTTTAAGAGACCTCATCCAGAAAGTTAATACTTTCCATAGAAACGTTTGGTCTTGAATGCATTATTTGTCTTCTGCTGTTTTTTTTTCTTTTTGCAATAAAAGTGGAACAGCTGTCAAAAAAAAAAAAGTTCTCAGGATTCCAACATGGCTGTGCACACTTATAACCAAATGCTCTAAAGACCCTTTAGGAAATGAAATGCAAAAAAAAAATTCTTTAAAGAATATTTTTACCATACAAGAAAAAGATGTTTGGTTTAAGAAATGGTGAAAATGGAACACGTCAAATGAGGTATTTGTGTTGTGGATCAGTGTAGCAGTTTTTACATTTAATTGGTATGCTATTATTTCGACTATATAACTGGAATGCATTCATTTAAACTTGACCTTTTGGTTTCTTTTTTAAATGTATTTAAAATATTTGCAGGGACTTTCTGTCTGTTCTTGTGGATGCATGAGTTCCGGCCTCCCCCTGCCTTTGGGTCTGCGTGTGAAGCTGTGCTTACCTTACAAAATTAACATTAAATGTTAAATGTATGTTTCGCTTTGTGGCCAAATAGGATGAGAAAAATGTTCCATGTTCAAAACATTGACAAGAAAAAACTAAACAAAGCACGTTTTCAGAATTTCACAAGTTAGCGCCTAATGTTTCCATTTTAATTTTTCTAAATCGCATGTGTTGATAGGCTACTCTATGTCTAACGCTGTGAGGACTTGAAAACCGAAGACAACTTGAGAGCACACAATCTTTGAATAAAATTCAAAGATTATGTCAATTTTGTGAACAAATGTCCTGCAATCACAGCTTTGAGACAATCGTGGACGCCCCCTCGGTGTCTTTTTCAACAGTGTTACACAGCAATGCTGTCTTCAGTCAGACGCTTCTCCAAAAGTGCTGCAACACGGACTGCTACCAGGGATTCCTCATCAGCATCAATCACTGTGAAGAAATTTGTAAGAGATGAGTTAAAGCAACAATAATCCAAACCCTTTAAGAATGAGTACTTTTGAATTTAATTTAATTTTTATCTATAAAAACAAAAGGCGACATTTTAAAAAATCGTCATAAAATTAAAAATGAGCGAATAAATCAAAGAATTACTTGTCTTTTGTTCAACTGTTATCATAAAAATCTGAATATCAGAACCACAAATCTATGTCACATACACGTAAATTAATCAAAGATCTAAATAATAGAGAGAAATGTTCTCGTTCACGTTTTCCTGGACTGCAGAGTTCATTCAAATTCGTGGTCAGAGTGAGAGCTCTGTCTCTGTCGTGGAGCTCTGTAGAAAACAAACCAACATGTCTGCTCTCACAAAGTGGTTCACGTTGGCTGGCAGAAGAGTATTCTCCACGTGTTCAAGGCAACGTTCATCAGTGACAAGTACGTCGTTCATGTCGTACATTCATGTCAAGGTAGTCTCGTTATTTTCTGTCGTGGTTTTAAGCTAACCAGCTAAATAGAGAGGGTTGTTCGTTCAAAAGGTTAGCTGTTGACATTCAGAGTAACACAGCAGGCGAGAACCAACGGCTTATTGAGTGATGAAGATTTATCGCGAATGTATTCAACAGTATAAGGCACAAATAAAAATGAGCTAAAAATGAGCAAAAATTAGCTAAAAATGAGAAAAAAAAGAGCTTTGGAGTTGAACGAGCTTCAACTGCAAAGTTTGTCCAGGATGGATTTTATATAACTGCCGTAAACTTCACTGTGTTTTCTGGGGATCAACACAAAGTAGTGCGTAAGTTTTGAAATGCTAAAACGAAATTTATGATCAAAAAGAATGTATGCTAAAACTGAGGTTATGCATGCAGAATTTAGGGTGAAATGTAAAAATCACAACACAAAAACCACAATGGATGTTGTACTAAAGTGGAAATTATGCTAAAGATACTAGCATAACTTCCTTTATGAATCTGATAAATATCGTCCTCGCCCAGTCTGTGTGTTTCAGCATGCCATGTCTTGGTTGTAAAGAGCTGCAGGACACTATCAGTCAGGACTGGATGGTAGGTAAACTGTGTCTCTTTCCTCTTTCTCCTGTCTAGTTGAGCTGATGGAAAACATGGATAAGAAATCAGCATGGGATCGCTTCTACTCTGAGACCAGCAGAAGGAGTCCCAACTTCAAAAACTTTGAGTGGTTCTTCGGTTTCGATGCTGTGCAGGACCTCATCACGCCCCTCCTGCAGACCGCGTCCCTTTCACGCCGTCCTGTCCAGGTCCTGGACCTGGGATGCGGCACATCTGCTCTCGGCCCCTCCATCTACAGAGACTCTGCTTTGCCAGTGCGAGTAACCTGCGCCGACATCTCCACCGTAGCCGTGCAGCTAATGCGGGAGCACGTCCAGGCTAACCCCGTCCGGCCTCGCAACGCTTCCTCTCAAATTGAGTTTTTAGAACTGGACTGCACCCGACTTGACGCCCACTACCGTCCCAGCAGTCTGGATCTTATTGTTGACAAGGGCACCACAGACGCCCTCTTGAGGTCCAAGGAGGGGGCGGAAAAGGCGGCTTCTCTGCTGAGGCAGTGTCTGAAGGCGTTGCGGCGCTCCGGGTCCCTGCTCCAGTTCTCGGACGAGGATCCTGATGCCAGGCTGGTGTGGTTGGAGACAGCCGCTCAGGGGCTGGCGGCGGCAGACGTCGGGCTGCAGGAGGTCGGGGTGCTGAGGGGTGTGTGCTACTACTGTTACCATGTGACTGCTCATGATGTAAACAAATAAAATGTAATTTATTAAAGTCTGCGTGTTTCATATCTACACACGGACATTCAAACACACACAGCTTTGTAAAAACGCCATATTACCATAATGTAGAATAACGGAATCATTTGTGTTGTCGAAAAAAGAAGAAAGAAAATGTTTACATTTGATCAAAAACAAAACAAAAAAATTATAAATAAAATTAACATTATGCTGTCTGATAGCCAAGACAACCTGATTTAGAGCTCTTTGTTGTTTTTGTTTAAAAAAAACACAATCCTTCTCAAGAATGTCAAGATTGAGTGAACATTAAAGATTAATGTAATATTCCACATCCATCCCTCAGACTCTCGTTCTCATTGCCGACTGTCTTCTGCCATCTAGTGGCTAAGTTTTATTCAACTGATCCCACTTGAAAGTTTCTGATTGTAAAATGTAATACAGTAAAACTTTCGAGAGAATGACTTTTGGGTTTTTTATTTACTGCAAGTCATGATCATTAGAATATTTCATTCAGTTTAATTAATCAATATAATTAATGACTTTTGCTTCGTGGTATTTGATGATACTCTGATTTATTGAGATGCTTTATAGAAACAGACATTTAAGGTCCACACAATCACAGTGTGTTGCCATGACAAAAGCTGACATCATTTATGACGTCTCAAAAAGTTTTGGAGCATTTATTCATACATGATGAAAAAAAAAACATGAGCATTTTTGTACTTATTGCACTCAATTCAAATTCTACAATGCTTGATTTATACACAAACGAGTAACAGATAGGCTGACGGCAAAGATTTCATCCACTTAAAGTTTCTTTATCAAGGACTGAAGGAAGTGACAGGTCAGTGCAAAGATTCACCAGGTGAGCCAGATCCATGAGAATCTCCTAGAAGAAGCTGTAGAAGGTGGCCGGCTCCTCCCCTTCCTCTTCTTCCAGCTTGGCGTCATCACAGAAACGCGGTGGGATGAGGTGTTGAGGATCAGACAGCCCCATGACATTGTTGAAGAAGCTGAGAAAAAAACAACAAAAAAAACCCCAAAAATAAAACGTGGCACACATTCGCCTCAAACGGAAGACGCAGTGTATGCTGTGAAACAGTTCAACACTGGAAACTCATCGAGTCATAGTGTGATCAGCTAATGAACTGAAAACAGCTGCTGCGTTTCCTGACCCTCTCGGTCTGGGTCAGTAGGACACAGCCATGGTGAGGACGACTGACTGGACAGACGTCCAGGAGACAGGCATGGACACCACCACAAGGACTGGCAGCCACAAAAAAGAAATACTGTGCCTCTTCAACCTGCAACCCTGACAACAGGATGCTGACATTGATGCTGAAGGAGCCCTAACAAACTGTTGAGTGAATTCAGATTGACATATATATTTTATTATATTCTGGAATTTAACAAATTTAAATAATCTAGTTAATTCTGACTGAGCTAAAACGAGAGAAGTTCAGTCTGATGTGACTGCAGCCTGAGAGAAAAAAAAAAGTTTTCGCCGTATGTAAACTTATGGTTCCAACCGTGTTTATGAAACGAAAACATTCAGAACATTTTTTTTTGTGTTTTCAGTCTTTTTAAAAAGTCTAATATTGTGTAGACTGTCTTAGTGGTGCGTATAATGCATATGGAAGTAAATACGTGCCATCAGGAACTAAAAATGCTTCTGAAATTTATTTGTACTTACTTTTTCAGTGTTAAAATACATTCAGGGTTTATTTTTAACCTAAAAAAATTTTCATTGTCATTATTCAATTAAAATTTCAAAGTCATTTTTAATTCAAAGCCTGATGGCACATATTTACTTCCATATATATGGACTCAAAGCTGTATTATGACATTTTCTGGTATAATTAATGTACAACAAAAGTGACAATAAAAACAAACTTAGTTTTTTTTCAGGCAGCTGTGACTGAATGGTTTTCACAGAAACACAAATACTGATCTGGAAAAACATTGACAATTCACTTTTTTATGTGATTTTTTTTAGTCACATTAAAAAGTTAATTTTTATCGCTGAACTGCAAACAGTAACTGCATTTAATCATATTTTCAAATTGATTGATAATTGAGGAAAAAGTGGAGAAAATACTAACAATCCTGATAATACTGATAGTTTTGTCAGGATTAATTGGAACTTATTGTGACGATCAGCAATAAATTAAAATTGCTATCAAAATTAGATTTATCACGGTAAATGATGAACAATAGGATAGCATTTGTAAATTAAGCCTGGCGTGGGAGTCGTTCTGGACGCCATTTGTCAGAATGTGAAACCCTTCAGGCCTCTAACGCCTCAGGCACCAACCTGGTGATCATCCATCCATCCCTGCTGCTGTGGACCAGCGTGGTGACGGGAACGCAGCCAAACTCCGTCACGGTGCTCATGTACTTCACTGCGGTAAACACAGAGCAGGTCAACCTGTCAAACTGGAAATGCGAGCTCAGGAATTCCTGCAGCACCACATGATTCTGTTTTCCTCCTGCCGTACCTGTCGTGTTCCTCATGTGCAGCTGGCCGGTCCAGGTGTTGACCAGGACCCCCTGGCCGGGACCGGAGGAGCTGCCCAGCACGGCCTGGCCCAGCAGGGAGGCGTCCTGCGGGACGGCCAGCGGGTGGAAGCCTCGGTGCAGGTGCTTCTTGCAGCACGTCTGGTTCCTGTAGTTGATCTTGTACATCACACCCTTACAAAACAGGACAGGATTATAATTATAATAACAATAAAAACACAACATGTTTAAAATCCCTTCTCTGTGGTTGTTACATATTTGTAGAGCAGAAGCACGTCCAGGTGGAAGGTCTTGTTGTTGTAGGATCCAAACTCCCAGAGGCGGATCCTCTGTTCCAGAGCATCGTAGGTGTATTTGGCAAAGGCCCCCAGCTTCTCATTCTGGGTGGACTGGAAATAAATCCACAGTAAGTATTTACTATGATCCTAAACAATCACTTCTTGTTATTTGACTGGTTTAAAAAAAAAGAAAAAAAGAAAAAAAAGGAACTCACCACAGAAAGAGAACCGGTCAGCAGCGGCGGGGAGGCTGTCGAGATGAAAAGCATATTTTAGTCTGAATAAATGATAAAAGTAGAGATGTTCACGCAGGTGTGTGTGCGCGCGCGTGTGTGTGTGTACTCACTGCATGGCCGGGGTTTCTGGGCCAGGCAGCCCACCGACAGGCACACCAGCAGCACAGGCAGCACCAGCAGCACCAGAGCTCTCATGTTGTCAGGCTGACTCTCCTCTCTGCAATCAGAGCTCACTTCCTTTAAAAGTAGGCAGTTAGCAGCCGGTGTCACCTGACGCCTGTTTCCTGTTTTTAAGTTTGTTTCAAATAAAAGCAGCTCTGATGAGTCTGGAGAGTCATTCATTATGAGTTCAGGTAAATCAGCCGAAAAAAGAAATAGACATTTTTGATCTTTTCTTTAAAAATGTTTACTCTTTTTTTTTCTTTTTTTTTGGTTTGTTTTATTTTGAGCCGCACAAAAAGAAGAAAAATACATGTTCACACTGCTTCCTGGGTACAAAGGAACAACAAAGAGAATTACAATCATACATTCACACAAAAATAATGTTGCCCAAGTCATTCATTTCATTTTTTACATCATGATGTATTTATACCAGTTCTGTCAATTGATTAAAAATAAAAGAATCTAATCAGATTAATCACAATCTTTTAATCAGGATTAGTCACCGTGCCTAACTTTTACAGCTTGCAGGAATGTTGCCCTGGGCAACCCCCTCCTTCTGCTGCGTTTCAACCAATTAAAATGGAAGCACTTTCGTAGCAGAAAGGAGGTAATATAATATCACAGAAATCAACAGCAACTAAAGGAAACTTACTCCACCACACATGCAAACTGCAACGACTAACGTTTTATTACAACTTTAGTTTAGAAGTGTCTCTCTCTCTCCATTCATGTCCTATGGATCTCATGCGATGAGGTGAGACTCGCTTGACCTCGTGTGTATTTTCATGCAAGCTCGTGCACATAGACGATGTTCACATGGGCTGGCGACGTGACACATAAAAGTTTGAAAATGTTCAATTGTTGTAACTGTGTCAGAAAACGTTAACCTTTCGCTGTCGTTCGTCGGAAGTTTAAAGGCAAAGGTACTTTAAAAAGAGAGAACAACGAGTCAAGCGGCAGTTCCTCTAGTTTTCTACTTCAAAAAACAAAAACAAAAAAAGATCCAAGTTCATAAATTAAAAAAAAAAAATCCCCAAACAAAAATGTTTTACACACCAATAAACCAGGAGTTACAATATTAGAACAAGTTAAAACTTGCATAAGTTTTGTTTTGTTATGCTCACATGCGGAGGAACAAAATTAGACCCTGAAGGTTTGTTTTGCCCCTGTGGCTTCAGCTGCACATGTTTCAAACTGAGTGAAACATATGGCATGTCTCTTTGAACATATAGAATATATTTTTCTATGTTTGAGAAATGGAAAAATGTCAGATCCTATGAAGCACTTTCATGTTTGTGACTGCAACGTAAAAATATGGAAGTTTAAATCCAGGATTCACCGACGTGAAAATGCGGGCCAATGCTAACATCCAACATTAATATTACTGTTATGGCTACCAACTATTTTCTGACATTACATATCCAGATATTATACGTATCCTGATATGTACTGCTACAGTTAAACACACCACAGTCCTCTGTTGCATCATCATTACTGTCATATGACCAAACAAATTTCACATGACTCAACTCCTCCTCCCAAAACACATCCAGCAACAAGATGGAAAAAAAAACACTGGTTATTATCAACCCAGAAATATTTATGAGACTAAAATGAAGACAGATTAATATTGGACACTTTGAAGCTGTTGAATACTCGTTCAAGGTTCTGCACTCAGCTTCCTGTCAGTCAGCCCAGTGAACGATTGCTGGTGAATTTCATTCAGTTTCTTCAAGTGTTACAAGAGTTTTGACTAAAACCGCTTCGAAGTCATTTTACAGTGAAATAGTTAGACTCCTGTTGTAGTGTGTTTCTAGTTTTTAAAGAAGCTGCAGAAATGAAGTGTGTGTGTCTCGGTCCTCTTCCTCCAGCTGGGCAGTGCTGCAGAACAGTGGCGGGCTGAGATCCTGGGGGTCTACTAGTCCGACGACGTTGTTGAAGAAGCTGAAAACCGGACAAAAACAATCAGTTTAATCTGTTGCAGTAGAATCTCAACAGAAAACAGAGTTCATGCCTGAGTGGAAGGTTTTCATTCCTGCATGGTGTAAATGGTCATTTTATTCTGTGTTCCACTTTCTTTGAAAGCTGGAAAATAAATCAAATGTCAACTGAACACCAACCTCCCCCTGAAAATCCAACATGGCTGACACATTTGTGTAAGATTATGACAGCTGAAGAGTTAAAAGGTGAATCTGTTATGATGGTTTTGATATCACACCCAGATCTGATTTTCACCTGTGCGCTAAGAACAGTTGGCCTATTTTCCATCAACCAATGGGATTTGTTTACTGTTAGTAGCTGCTATTTGCTATCAGCTGCTATTAGCTAGCTGCTCTCGTCTACTCCTGTCTGATATCTTTTAAACCTTCCCTTCACCTTTCTACCTTTCTTTTCGCTCTTCTTTTTCATTTTTGTTTCCACTCCATTTGACATAAACCCCAAAGTGAGACTGTTTTAGTGACACTGACACCATCAGAAATGCAAATCTAAAGCTTATTCCTGCAGCTACTGTTCCGTTTTATGCACACAGCACAACTTGCTGGATCAGGTTGATATGAAGCTTCCTGTCATGGGGTAACCCATGACAACAGACGAGTAGGCTCACAAAGTTGTGCTGTTTGGTTTGTGTTGTTCTTGATGATGAAGGGTAATTATTTTTGAACACTTGTTGGTTCATTGATAATAATAGGACAGATTAGCAGGTATTAAGAGCTGTTTACCCGTTTCCTGAGCAAACCAGAGGAAGCTTTCAAAGCCTTTTGTGGAAGCGTTGACATGGGGAATATAGTTATATTCTAGTTCAGTTTTATTAATTCATACACACTTTTTTTTCTACAATAAAAAAAATATCCCTCTTCATAGTGCACTGTAGCTGGTTAGAGAGAAGAATAAAATCACTCCACCACATTTCCCTTCGTATTTTTAAATTTGAATTGAGTCGAAGGACGCCATTTTATTCAGGCATTAAAAAAGACGGCATTATCTGCTCTCTGGAGCTGACGGGAATTGAATAAGTGAGGTGTGAGCACTGACCTGACTGCCACCCATCCTCTCTTGTCGGTGCTCAACAGGGTGCTGACCGGAATGCATCCGAACTCTGTAACCGTGCTCACGTACGTTGCTGCAAAGGAGGAAAATAAAACAACACAAAAACAGACGAGGTACATTATTGCTGAATCATTTGCAGTCATGTGGTTGAATGTCCACAAGACAGCACTGAGACCCTCCTCCTTGCTCTGATTAGTTGATTCTAACTGGGTATCTGCTGTATTTCTGCAGATATCTGTAGAACCACAAGGAGGAAGCAGAGGAGCTTGATTTTTTTCCTAAGTTATTATCTAAAATATTATACTATTTTAGATATTATATTTTCATGACATTATGACAGGTTTAACAAATATGTGAAAATATTGTGTCTAAAATATAACCACTGGAGGTTTAAGTGCCTGGTGTATAATTAGCATCATACCTAAAGTTACATTAGATGAGTGTTCAACTTTAAAATCTCTATAATTTTATATCTAAACAAAAGAAATGCAGTTTTTGTACAACTAGTTTTACATTCAGGCTCCTTTTCAGAAAAATGGCTCTGAAACAAGTACCACTTTTTTCCACTGTGTTATCTACTTACCACATAAAATCCCAAATAAAATATATTGAAAATGGTGGGGCGATGTGAAAAAAGGTGAAAAACTTTAAGTGGTACAAATATTTTAGAAGAAACTCTACCTGATCCCTTCTTAGTCAGCAGCGTCCCAGTCCAGGTGTTGACCAGAATTTCCTCCCCTGGAACCGAAGAGCTGCCCAGCACAACCTGACCCACCAGGGAGGCATCCTTAGGAACGGCCAGCGGGATGAAGTCCGTACTCAGGCGCCTTTTCAGGCACGTCTGGTCCCGGTTGTTGATCTTGTACATCACCCCCTGCAGGAAGGGATGGGATTACAAACAGAACCCGTTACATACATACATACATACGTACGTACGTACGTACATACATACATACATACATACATACATACATACATACATACATACATACATACATACATACATACATACATACATACATACATACATATATACATACGTGTCCCCTCTGCTTGGTTCTCACCTGTTTGTAAAGCAGAAGCACGTCTAGATGGAAGGTTTTATTGTCAAAGGACCCAAAGTCGCTGAGGCGGATCCGCCTCCCAAGGCCATCATAGGCGTATTTAGCAAAAGCTGCCAGCTTCTCGCTTTGGGTGGACTGCAGGACGGAGAGAATGCGTTTCACTGAGAGGAGTGAGAGAACAAAGTCGAACTGGTTTCAACTTACCACAGAAAGGCCTCCAGACATGAGAGGCGGTGATGCTGAACAGGAAAAAAAAAGCTGAGTTATATTATGAGCTGGTAAGAAGATTCTGAAATACAACATCCTGATGCTGAGCTCTTCCAGTGTGTGTACTTACTGCATGGTTGGGGTCTCTGAGCCAGGCAGCCCACCAACAGGCACACAAACAGAAAGAGAGTCGTCATGTCGTCTGACGGAAAGCCCACTGTCCTCTGCTGTCCTTAAATACAAACTTGTGGGGTTTCCAGTCTGTATCCAGCATAATTATCAAAGATGCTGTGAAATATGCCGAATCCACATGACTGAACAAGGAGAACTTTCTAACTTGTTCTAACTGATTCGGATTCCCAAATCCAATGATTATCTCTGGTTTTTGATCATTCAGCCATGATCACTATCTGGTCACGTTACATCCTAGAAAAAAACCTGTCTACTCGTTACACTTTTAAAGACTTAAATGAATACCCGTTCTTAAAAAGCGTTTTATGTTTTTAATTACAGCACCAAACTTGCTGTATGTTTACAATAATTTCCCTTCAGAAAAAGCTGAAAGCCAACAACAAACGGCATCTTCTGAGCAGAAGAGCATTCAAACCAAAAGTCTCGTGTTTTTGGGCAGTTTGTGTGACAAACATAAAAGTCTAGCAGAACAGTGAAATGGGGAGAGAACAGAAATATGTCTAAATGTGTGTACGTGTCATTTATCTTCACTTACTGATACTGAATTGAAAATTTAGTGCCTCAATCTGCTCTACTGTCCTGCTGGTAAAGACGAACCCCAAAAGACTGGAAACTGTCATTGCAGTTTGCATCCAAATAAGAATTTTGTGCTGATTTGTGTTGGATATACAAAATCTCAGTAACCTGACAAAAAATGTTCAAGATGGATGAGCTGTTTAGTGTGTGTGTACTTGTATGTGTAGCCTATTTAAGGCCTTCTCTGGTGTGAACCTAATGAGGGCCAAAGTCCACTCATAATGCCATGAGCTCCTCTTTTTAGGATTAATGGTGTTATGTGAAGTATGGTTAGCGTCAGGCAGAGTTAGGGGTAACCTATAAACTTGTGTGTGAGTTTGTGTGTGTACAAATCAATCAAAGACTCAAAAACACAATGAAGAGAAAATTACTCAGTTTATTATTCTTGCTCGTGTTCTGGAGAGACATTCTTCATCGGAGCATCAGACTAAATGAAAATGAACTCAAGTGCCGTGAACTGGACAATCTGATCCATCTTGAGAAAAATACCGAACGCACCAAGGTCTCCAGCAAGAGTTGAACAAGACAACATGAGTTAGATGAAATGGAGCAGGTCTTCATTTCTTATTTTGAAATAAGCTGAAGAAGTCGACTGGTTCCTCCTGATCCTCCTTCCTCTCCGCTTCTGAGCAGAAGCTGGGGGGGTTGAGGAGATTAGGATCTTCAATCCCAATGACGTTGTCGAAGAAGCTAACAGAGAAACAGATGCAGGAATCATAAGGCTGAACTCAGACAGATCAGCTTGAGCTTTATCATGGTCACGATGCTGAAACCAACCTCGTCACCACCCATCCGTACTCTTTGGTTTGGTAGTTGGTGTTGACAGGAATGCAGCCAAATTCAGTGACCACTGATGAGTACTTTCCTGGAATGATAGAGCAAAAAATGTTAAAGCTGCTAAAGCTGGCTGAATGAATGAAGAACCGAGGAGATTATTGCCATAGGATGTCTTCTCACCTGACTTGTCTGGAAGGTCTCCCACCCAGGTGTTCACCAAGAGGCCTTGTCCAGGTCCGGATGAACTTCCCACTACAGCCTGACCCAGCAGAGTGGCGTCTTTTGGGATGGCCAGCGGGTAGAACGCTACCTTCAGAGGCAGCTTCTTACAGGTGCGGTTATGATAGTGGATCTCATACATGGTGGCCTGATCAGGAAGGTAGGAAGGGACAGTTTCAGCAAGGTCAATTCTTTCAGATTCTTACAGAACACTTTTCAAACAAATCATCCTAAAATGGAGAGTGTTGGACAACTGCAAACCTACATGCAAATGGCTACCAACAGATAGAGCATGCAGATAAAGCATTAAACAGGGAAACAGCCAAGAGATCCAGCTGTTAACTATGCAACACTTGGTACACATACATCGTTGTAAAGGGAGCCTTTGCAAATTTGCCTTTGGATGGTTGTGTCTGGTGGGCATCTGCTCTGAATCCATGTGACTATGTGGGGGCCTCTGGGGCCAGCACTGGCAAATCAGGAATCAGATTGGTAGCTGACTTTAGAATTTATATAGTCTTCTGATGCACTCATCACCCTAACACTGTGCCATAATGTACATATTTAAGGGCTTCGGTATGTGTATTGGAATAAGCAGGCCATAAACGCCAGATGACTTCTCCTGTATTAAGTGATGGAAGTTGAGGAAGTTTTTGGCTGGATGATTTCAGATGACTGTAAAACATGTAAACGCTTCTTTAGAGTTCTTAGTCTAAAGAACTTCAATTTACATTGAGTTCTGACACCAGACCAGTACTGTGTCTGGTGTCAGACCCGGTACTTTAAGGTCCATGTAAATTTGTGTTGCTGATCTGGAAGTGTATCAAAAAAGTTTCCACCCTGAGGTTTCATTTATCTGGTATTCTTGTAACATGCTCTATAGGTTTTCAGGACTGAAGCCATTACACACAGTCATGTAACTCACAATCTTCAAAAGAAATTATTTCCAAATTGGTGAATTTGTAAGTTGATCTGGTATTTCTGTCATCTCTGTCTTTACAAACTAATCATTGTTCCTCAACAACAGAATATGGCTTTCTTCATGGGCTTGACCAGAGGTAATCATTTACCATTGCTCCATTTTATTCCGCTTCCCTTGTGATTATCATCATTTTTTAAATGGATAGCTGTTTCCTGGGAGAAAACTTTCATGCTGATTCGAGTCTGTGATCTCCTGAAATCACATTGGATTCTTTCTGGCTTTACATCTAAGCAACCGTATCCACTTGCAGTGTTTCCAAACGTTCATTTCCTTTTTTAAAAGCCCGGATCAAAAGTCACTTCCTGCTAAAACAAAGACACAAACTGTTCATGCTCTGGTCACCTCTCTGTAGAGCAGCAGAGCGTCGTAGGTGAAAGTCTTATTCTCGTAGGCGCCCAGCTCCCGCAGTCGCACTCTGTGTCCCAGTGCGTCATACAAGTATCTGGCGTAGGTCCACAGCTTTTCATTCTGTGTGGACTGGAAAGTCAGAGTGTGAGTGATCCCGATTCACACGTTTACTCAAAAGCTCTGCTCAGGTTTAGCTTGATTGTGCAGAAGAATGAAAAGCTTACCACGGTGAGGGCTCCGCTGAGAAGGACTGGACTTTCTGTGGGTCAGAAATGTGACATTTTTCATGTTGAAACACCAAAAAACGGTTTAAAAAACAGCAATATTTTGTCTCATACAGAAAAGGTGAGACATGATGAAGAAATACTGAGAAAGCAAATGAAATTAAAGCTTCATTCCAACTAAAATATCCTCTTACCACATGGATGAGGCGTCTCTGCCAGGCAGGCTGCCAGCAGACATGCGAGCAGGACTGGGAGTCTCATGTTTCTGAATGTGCCGATCTGCTCACTCTGCTGTCACAGGTGAGGGATCTTCTCCTTATAAACTCTGACCCGAGTCTCGGAGATGCAGAGCAGTGATTCCGGGTTTTAGCTCCAGTTACAACCTCACAGTTGGCCGCAGGTTGGGGTCATAAATGAAACAAGCGTTGTTGTCAGAGTGACGCTGCAATAAAACATAAAGAAAAAAAAACAGTGTCTGCATTATCCACTGAAGGTTGGTTAATGTTCCATTCAAAGCACACGTTCAGAGCAGGATTTCCTTAAATATTGAAATTGATTTCACAATAGAGAAAGTTGAGACACACGCCTCTTTTGGTTCAATACGTGTCTTTTAACTTTGCCGGTGGTTTGGCTTCCAGCATGGGACTGCAGTGGGTCAGGGGTGAACAGTGTTGTTTGTGCTCTGATTGGAAGGAGACTCCTAACCTCTGGACTGGATCTGAGCAGATGGATGAAACCACAGTCATATGACTCAGAGTGTGTGTGACTGAAGTCACGGGACTAAAGCACCTGCTGAGTTATATTTTATGTCAACACAATTGGAACACTCATTGTGCAGATTGTGCAAGATGAAAATGAACTTGTTTTACTAACTTGGCTGCATTTACCTTATGATCTTGACCAGTGACGTGTGGCCAGGGCAGGCAAGTGATCAAATAATTTATATTGCCATTTTCAACCTTTACAGTGGTTTGTACTGTAAAGTATATATTTTTTACTTAGCTTGACCAATTGTGATGATATTTTTTTTTATTTAAAATCACTGAATTTGTGCATGTTCCCATCGAAATGCTCTGAAGCCGGTAGGCAGCAGCGAGCTGAGCCCCACCTGGGACTGATCAACCTCTCGCTAACTGCACTGGCTAATTAAAAAAAAGTAGCTTGATAATACCTGAGTTTAACTATTTTGGCCCTTATGTCAAAAAGCTCAGACACCAGACGTTTGATTGATGTCAGGAACGAAGATCTGATCAGAAAATTCATTAAAGTCACTGCTTCCACATTCTTGCATTCCAGCGTTCACACAGACTATTCATTTTATTTCCTTTTAGCATTTTTAAATGCTCAAATAAGATGTTATTTCTTTCTTCTTCGAAAAGTAGACATTTTTTTCAAGTTTTAACAATGTTTTTGCCTATGTTGATAAGAAAATACAACTGGAGTCGAAGAATTATACTTGGAATTAAAACTATTTTAATTGTTAATGCTCTGAACAAATGAACAAAACAAACACTTACAAAAAAGAGAAGATTTAACACTTTTCTTGAGAAATAAAGATGGTGATAAGTACTGATTTACAAACAGCTTTGAATTTCAAACTACTTGCTTCAGTCTTAGCTGATCTGACAATAGTGTTGAATCAATAAACATATTCAGATATTCAGAGTAATGTTGGATGTATTTCCCATAAACATCTGATGCTAATAAATTGGTAAAAAAGCATCAGTCAGTGCATGTTGTCTCCAGCTCTGTGAACATGTGTCTGCTAGAGGAGTGGAGGGAGCCTGAGCAGGTCGCAGATCTCGTTGCAGGTTGGTCCATGTTGCTCTTTCCGGAAAATTGCCAGCCCCCTTTCACCAAAGTTTGAGGGGCCCATGGGGGTCCTGATGGAGTGAATCTGGGGGTCCGTGAGGTAAGTCAGACCTTTCCCACTGGAAGTCGTCCATCCTGTGGAAGAGGAAAATTGCAACCAGTTCAGAGTTGCCTTTGATTAGTATTAAGAGAAAAAATTGACCAACATAGTTGATGTGTATTTGCTTGATGATTTTGATAATATGTGGCAAAATTGAATGTTTATTGCTTGTTTCATAATTGCTAACTGCTTGATGTCTTCATGTCTTGTTGATGAAATGTCCTATACAAATAAACTTGACTAGGCAAAAGTGTCAACTCTTTTTTTTACTATGTTTCTCCCTATGCAGAGTTATAGTTGTGTACTGAATTGATACCTTGCAAGTCTACCACAACTTCCTGGTGACCAGAGAAAAGGTAGGTGAAGTGTCCAAAAGCCAGGCCATATTTCGTTGCCTCGACGGACATCACTTTCTTCCCAGTGTTGTTGGTGAGTTTCACAAACTCTCCGAGCATGTACGGCTCCACGGTGATGCAGCCCACGATCTCGTCTCCGTTTAGAATCTAAGCACAAACAAGAAATGGAGGAGGCATCTTGAAACTTTCCAATCTCTTCTGACAAACTGTTGCTGAAGATGAAACGTAGGGGTTAGGGGTCATTTCAGGCCATGTCCATAACAACACACATCTTTTGTTTGATGGATTTGTACTTATCATCCACTTGTTTACACCTACCTTCCACTTTACCAATGGGAAGCATATATTGATTTTACCAGCATTAAGCTGGTAAAATCATTGGACACGTCGGAGTAAATTTCCACTGTTATGCTGATGATACTCAAAAATATCAATGCATAAATCCTGATGAATGGAACCAGTTAGATCGATTACAGGCTTTTCTTGGAAACCTGGATGACTACCCTAAACCTAAGCTGAACTCTATTCACACCTTAATCCCAAATCTTATTCCTGTTCTCAGTGGCTCCCCACAACCGAGCATGGTTTAGGAAGACGGTCCTTACAATTGATCAAATACGAAGCCACACACACACTGTCCTCACCAACAACGCGTCGGAGGGAATGTAGAAGATCTGAGCCAGAACTTCTTTGTCGTAGAGACTCTTGTTGAATTCAGTCACGTAGTACTGGGCCGTCATCTGGCGCTCCACGTCGTTCAGGTGATACTGGATTTGTCTTGGCTTCAAGTAATCCTTCCCCACGTAACTGCAGAAAATGTCCAGAAAAAACAATCGGAGGTTATTAGAGAGAACTCAAAAAACATTAACAGCTTTTTTACCTTTTTATCTTATGTCACAATCTTCCACTAAATATACACCCTGTTTATTTAGTAAATTTGTTGACAACAAACGGTTAGAGGAGAAGTCTTATGTAAAAGCAAAATTTTTAGCTGTACATCATGATATAATGTTATTCCCTTATCAGAAACATACCTGAAGGGTTGCCTTGATTATTCGAGAAATCATTTATCTCCCGCGGCAACCATTCAGCTGTGTAAAACCTTTGTGGGGACTGAGCATCGCCTCCTCAGAGCTGCAGGTTCCACACTTCTGATATTCTGCCTCACAGAGCAGCCCTGGCCCACAGGGCTCCAACCCACTCGACTCCTTCAGACTAGCCAGTAGCAGTTAGCAAACACCTGGTGGAACTCTGCATCTGCTAAGTTCTTTATACGAGCTAATTCAGTGCAATGCTGGTAAAATCGTTGCTAAAGGGTTAATAGAGGAGCCATGTTGTCATGACTTCCTGAAGGCGGAGTTTCAGAAAAAAGAGAAGTTTTTAAAGAGACAGATGGCTGAATATTGCTGAAATGGAACTGGAGCTCTTGAATTCCTTTCTTAGACCAGAACCCAGTTCCTCCATTATTATTATTATTATTATAGTCACAGTTCTGATTACAGACACTCTCAGTGAGTGCCGTTTGGAGACATCCTCCAACGGGAGGCACCGGAATAGCATGACAACAAACGGTTAAAGGAGAAGTCGTACCTGCTTAACCTCTCCTCCTGATGCAAAAACTGGACCCATATGGCTCTTCTCTGATTGCCCTTCACCTCCATCTGCATCAGATGCCCGATGTAAACACAGGTCTCTCGGGCCGTCCACAGTCCTGTGGCCTTGGAGAACTTCAGGTGGAGAGCATCTAGAGGGGATCATTTGCAGACATGCAAACCTTTACTCTTTGTTCATGACAAGAGTCATTTATTTAGACTGGTTTTTAGCTAGCTTCATGCTGTGAGATCTTGAATATATTCTGTTTTCTGACCTGTGGAAGGTGCTGCTTAATTCAAATGACACAAAATGGTAAAATGCTAGCACAAAAACAGCAAAACACTAAAGGAAGTACTAAAAGGAGAAGGAAATTATAAATAGGTGCATCAGTCAAGAAGCCAACAAAGACTGTTACATATTTTTTTAGTATGACAACTGCACTGGCAAATATAACATTTCAATCAGCTGGCATAGATAATGAAGAAAAGCTCCTGCTACCACAGAAATAAACTTACTGTGAGCAGTTTGAAAGTTTTGGAGTTGGAATAAGTCTGTGTTGCTGCAGAGCCTCCTCTGCAGACATTCACGACAGATTCCAGCCAGTAGAGCCTGGTAATCCTGCTGGGACAACTCCAACTGTCGAACAGGAGCAGCTGTTGTGCTGGGGCACAAGCAGCTGTAGCACAAAGTGTTCTTGTTCTGAGGTGCTTTCCCTGCAGAAGTCACCTCATTGCTTTGGAGCCCGTTTTCATTCAGCTCCACCATTTCGTATGAACTCTCAGAGCTCTCCTCAGTAGTTGCGTTTGGGTCTGGAACCCTCTGTGAAGGTTTGTCTTGGACCACTGAGGCAGGTTTAGCAGGTCTTGACCTGTCCTCCAGTTTTATATTTGAGTGAACATCATGCCTCTCTTGTGGTTTGTGATCTGCGATGCCGGCAGGTGAAGAGCTGCTTTCAGAATTCTGTGTTTCCACGATGACGAAGCTCCCATCAGAACCTGAAGACCGACTCCTTGGTTTTGACACATAACCTGGTTGTGCTTTTTCATACAATGGAGAGTTTTGGCCAGTTGAGATTATTCCCCATGAAGACTGGGAACTAAAACTCTCACCGAAGGAGCTGAAAGATTCTTTGAGATCGAGCTGGGACAGGGAATGCAGAGATCCTTTATTCTCCTCACCATTAACATCAGTCATGCTGTCCAGATCAGAGACGTCTGTCTGTATTTCAGCTTGATTTTCTTCAATCTGTAGAGAATGACTTGGGGTTTGAGGTTTGGGAAATGAAGTGATGTCAGAGGTACAGTTCTGCTGATTTGGATACTGGATGTCCATGTCAGCGTCTTCTGTCTCGGTTTTGGTTTGACTTTCTTCAAAGTGTCGAGAATGACCCGTGGTTTTAGGAATGATGGACTTTGGAACCAGATATGAAGTGATGCCAGAGGTATGGCTCTCTGGCTTTTGCTTCTTGTTTTCATCAGCAGAGCATAAAACACTGTCATCATTATCATCGTCACTCTTGGTGGGAACATTGCTCTGATCGCTACTTCCTGTTATATGAGCACCACTGCTGTGCTCAGGAGAGCCTGAACTTCTCACGGAAGACTTTTGACAGGAAGATCTCAGGAGGTCTGTGTTTTCCTGAATTGGGGCAGAAGCAATCTTTTGAGACAGAGACATGCTGGATGAATCTGAGCTTCCTGAATTTTGCTTGGCTGCTTTTGATGAACTTTCTTTATCAAAAGCAGGCAACTTGACCGTGCTCACAGTTAAATTCAGTGCTGTTAAAACTTTTGCGTCATTGCCTTTCGTCTCCCTGAAACTTTTGGTGGCCTCACACAGCGATGCATGGAATTTCTGATGTCTCTCCAGCATCTTTGAGAAACCCTCCAGGGTGAAATTTACAGAGTAATCTTTGTCATTTCTGTAGCTGTCTGGAATAAAAGATTCTTTATCTGAATTAGGGAATGGCTCCACACCCAGCAGCTGCTTGACTTTAGCGACTTCTTGCATGATTCTAACAGACAGGTCATCTTTGTCTTGAGTACTGGAATCACAGTATTTGTAGAAATATTCTAAAGCTTGCAGGCAAGCTTGAGCAGCCTCCTCTACAACGTCCTTTGGAGCGTCCAGCCATTTGTCAGTGACGGTCATGGAATAGGCTGCCTTCAGAAAGGTGTGAAGTTCCTGCTGGCTGGTAACCGGCTCACCCTCTGCTTTGGTGAGAAGGCCGACTGCGAAGGCCTCTCGAGCCTTCTGGAGGAAGGCCGTTCTTTGAGAGGGAGGGCATGTCAGTGAGAAGCTGTACGACAACAAGGAGGTTCCGTGAGCCGTCTAAAGACAAACAAATGACAAACAATCACAAACCGTTCAAGGTTTTTTTAGATAGTTACCTGGTTTGTTGTGACCAGCGTAAGTCTAGTTTAAAACTCTCAATGGCTTCTAAATTGATTTTATAATTTTACTCCTGAAGTTTACATTCCCTCCATTAGTTGACACCTTTCAGCACAGCCTCTCAGTTGGACGGCACATTTAGCATGGCTGCCGCTGGACCACAAGCATTCATAGTGTGTGGTTTTCCGGTTCGTGTGATTTTATTACTGGCAGTGGCCTCATTTCTATCTTTTTCCCCTTCTCTTTTATCACGTTACCATATCATTTCCTCAGTGTATTGAAACATTTTAGGATAAGAGTCAGACCATCCTTCCTTATCATATTGATTACTCATGAATCAGTCCAATTATAAAAGTCAAAAGACACTTTATTCAGCACATCAAACATAACCAAATCAAATAGACATTTTCTGAGTCCTGGATGGCTGCTGACAAACTGAGTGACTCTTCTATTGACAAGAGAAATGTTCCTGTAACGGCCGTGGTAACATGGGAGTGTTCAGAGGTACAACATACCACATTAGTCAGCACGTAAAGTGAAGCATACTGACTGTATACCACAGCCATCTTAGCTGCCTGGGCGGCGGAAAGAAGACGATGACTCCCAGCATTCCCGAGTAAAGATGACTGAAAATTAGCAACAACTATAAGTTACACTGAATGACAAAAAAAAAGCACAAGAAAAACATTTTTTGTGGTTTCTTAAACTTACAAAATGAATATCTGGTCCCGTCTTAAAAGCATGGAAGTCTTCATCACTCATGGACACAAATATGTTAGCAAGTAAGCCAAGAGAGGTTCCAATGCCCTATGAAACAAAGGTTTATAGCAATGTGGAATTGAGACTAGTAAACACAGCAGCTTTACAATAGAGTACCAACGTCCACTTTAGCAGTTTTATCTTTAAGTTACCTTCTTATCAGGCTGAGGGAGCGAGCAGTAGCCAACCAGAGAAGCCCAGATTAGCTCTGCGGCCTGCAGCCACAGGCCTGAAATACAAAAAGATTGTAAAAACAGGACAGAAAATAAAAGCCTTCAACTTCTAGAGCTTGGAACTAAGTACAGGAGCAATGTCCCTTTAAAACCAGAAGCTGTTTTGTTGTAATGAGAGATAAAACACATTGTAACAATATATATAATGCTTACTAATTTCAAACTCACCCAACTTTTGCAAAACCGTTCCACGCACTTGAACACTGACGGCTTGAACGAGCACTTTGTCACTGTCACAATGATAGACCCAACAACCTGAATGTCAACGACAAGTTCATGCTTAGAGTTGGACTTTTATCCTTTAAAACTGAATAAAAAGCTCAGTTGAACTACCTGTCGTCCCATTCCTATAAATCAAACTGCTTAAGATGGATTCTGCCTGTTGAAGTTTTCCTGTTGAGATGAGACACAAATTCATCAGAAAAAAAAGTGCAACACCAAATGAAATTATCAAAAAATGATCAAAAAGCTTTCAACTCTCTTAATACCAATAAATACCATCCTGTGCAGATGTGATTTTTGCTATGCCAGGTTTCTTTCACAGTCAAAACACAATAATGCTAAATAACAATGAAAGCTGAGTTGTTATGGTGCATTCTACAGACATAAAAATCAAAACTGTTCCCTTTGACCTTTGTATAATTATCCAATTATATTTAAAGCATAAGAATACCAGTCAATATGTTCAAGCCCATTCCACCATCAATAAATACCAGAGTTAAGGAAGACCCTGGCCTGCCGTATGATCAGCTGAGGGGCTATAGGTTGATCAGGGTAGAGTCGGTTCAGGAGCTTGGTGATCTTTAGAAGTCGTGTAGATTCATCGGCCCAGTAGAGGAACCGGTCCACTAGGAAGATCACTGCCAGGGATGTCTGTGGTTCCTGAGCCATGATGGAGGACTTCAGAAGATCCTGGCAGCAGATTAAACACACAAACTAAAATCAGAGAGGAGTGTGTGGATTCAAAGTGCTGTAAAAACATAGTCATACCCTTATGAATTACTTCTGTTTTTGCTGCTTTGTCACACTGTTCAAATAAAACTAATTACAAGCGTATCGGCTGTATATTTTTGTTTTTAATTTAGCACTGTGTTGATCGTGCACGCTGCTACCACTGTCCCTTTAGGCCATGTCTGCTTTAACTGTGGCGTATCCTGTTGAAAAGCACTGCATGCTGCACTGACTGTGACCACTAGATGGCGGGGCCATTAGTTTGAACACTGTCATTGTGAAGGGAGTTGGAAATGGAGTCTAATGAAAGGTATATTGTTGGAGATGTGACCTTAAACTCTTGTTCTGATTTTCTTTTTTAATCTAAGTTGCGATGGAACCATTTTCTTGAAAAGGAGATGAAAGTGCAACACAATTTGTTGTCATTTTATATTTTTTAGTATTCATAAAGTTGATTTGGATAGCTTTTTCTCTCTTGAAAACTGATTACTGTAATTTAACAGTTGATGTCAAAATTAGTTTAATGACTAACATTTAGGTTTGCTAAAAAAAAAAAAAAAAAGCTTGTGTTCGTTAGCATAGGCTCCCCAAGAATTACCAAGAGTTGTTGCACGTTTTTGCCGATGATGTCATTGAGGTTGGTCTTGTCTGTGGGACTGATGGACTGCTTATACTGCCATCTCTCTGGCACAAAGGGCCACTTCATCTGCTCTGCCTCCTGCAGCAGGGAGGCCAGTTCTTCACACAGAGACTCTACAGGATAAGAAAGAGGAATTTCATAACTCCAGGAAAAAGAGTTCAAAACAACAACAATACCCGGGTTTAAAGCTTCACGACAGATTTCACTTTTAGCGTGAGGCAGGAGCCCCGTTCAGGTTTTCTCAGGTTTTAATCACTCAGGTTACAGTTTCAGCTTGAAGACTTATTTTAGCCAGTTTGGCAGAAAAATCAATTCCAGTACCATCAGAATATGATCATAAGACATTAATATGCACATAAAAAAAGGACTCATACAACGTTCATGTGCATGTAATGTCATAATAGTACATTTCACATGTCCATACTTAATACTTTGCCAGTTCATTTCAATGCAAATCCCTAAACATAAATTATGAAAGGCGTTTCCATGGCCCAGTCAAAGACCAGATCATAATCTAATCGATGTGACGAACTTATAAAGTTTTGATCAAATATTTAGTCCAGATGGAAACAAGGCAAATAGCGCCACCGTGTGTCTGACCTCTGCAACGACTGTACTTCAGCTTCACAGAGTCAGAGGCTTGAACGCGTTTCTTATGTTGCTTGGCTGCACTGAGGCAATCCTCCAGTAAATCCCCCACCTCCATTCAAGAAGTGGCTGCTGCTGCTGGAGAGAGAGAAAAAAGAGGATTTCCTCCTGCTAAGAAAGAAATAATATAATAAAATAAACAACTATGTGTTTGGAAAGGATTGTACAAATGACCGTTTAGTGACTTTATAAAGTATGAGACAGAAAAACAGATTGAAAGAATGAATGAAACATTATTTTATGTTTAATCTGAACACAGAAAACACAATCAGCATTCATCATTAAACACTGTTTGGGACGAGAAACACGATCATTGGTGCTGCCATGCATTACAATGTAAGACGCTTTGAAAAAGTTTTCCTTTAGTCAGATTTAATGACTCATTGATCCCATGTAATGAATGTAGTTTGAGCGAGCCCAATAAAAACACTTTACATTCAGAGAGAATGGAATCGCAGTGAATAACTGCTGTAGATGCTTCAGGATCAATACGGCAGAAATACATCCCGTTTTACTGAAAAAGAGCCACTTATTAAAATCATTTTTAACAGTAAAAAGTACTTACCAAGGCTTCAGAGTTCCCGGTGACTTCCTGGTCAGGCAGTATTATGAAATGCTGCTTTCAATGATGTAGGAAATTTGATTTTCTCTGGTAGGTTGCTTTCAGTTTCAGTCCTGAAAAAAAAAACTGATTAAGTATATTTAAATATATATATATATATAAATTCCCTTCTCACCCACCTTGGGTGGTTCTTATCCTCTGAGCTCGGGTCCTCTACCAGAGGCCTGGGAGCTTGAGGGTCCTGCAGTATCTTGGCTGTACCAAGGACTGCACATTTCTGGACTGAGATGTCTGATTTCGTTCCTGGGATCTGTTGTAGCCACTGCTCCAGTTTGGGGGTTACTGCAGAAACTGAGTCATTATTAGACTGAGGGCAGGCAGACTATTTTATTTTGATAAATTAGTATATTTAGTTAAATATTATTCCTGAGGGGCAAAAACAGGCCTTCTGACATACAGATTAAAAAAGAAAAAAGAAACTTTTTTTAGATACCCCCCCACAAAAAAAAAAAAAATAAATAAATAAAATAAAAAAAAAAACTCATAAAGGGCACTTTTTGAAAGGGACTCAAGCCCCTTTAGCCCCCCTCACCCCTTCTGCACGTGCCTGAGACCCACTTTTCAGTGTGGTGGAGATGGGGACAAACATTTCTGTCCACAGGTAAAGAAAGATTCTCTATTAATCTCTGAGGTACGATGATAAATCAAAATTAAAAGCATGAACTTAAATGCTCAAAACGCCAAAATTTACAAAGAAAGAGATATCCACAAATAATCACTTGAATATTTTATGCATTTGATAGAAAGGCAAAAACCTCATGTGTAATTCATCAGCCAGTTCGATCTTATCATAAATGGTGAATCAAATTACTTGGAAATGAACATATTTTTGAACAAGACAAGGAGTGAATATCTTAGTGGCTTCATGTGTTCTGAGAACATTTTATGCCATGAATCTTTAATGCTATGCATTCATAGCTGAAATAATGTCTTTCATTGGAGATGCTAATAGCCATCATCAAAATAATCAGGCAAATACAAACCAAATACATAAGCTGAAGAAAAAATGGAAAGGAGGAAAAATTGCTGCAGCTGAAATCAAGTATTTTATTCATTTTAGAAGCTTTGGCCAATTTTATAATTGTCTCATGTATTTATTGAACCAAAATTAGCTTTATGTTCTGTTTTATCATGTATCTATCTGTGTGGTTGTAAAACAGCTGAGGTTGATTTGAAGGAGCCACATGAAGAAACTTTGACTTGACTTGCCAGCAGCGTTCAGCTGCTCTCAAAACCCGCTTTAAAGCAACAAAACACCACATCCAGAATGCAACAACAACAACAACTCCCTAAACGCAATTCTCCTTCTTTCTCTCATTCGATGAATGCATCACGTGAAGTGACGCGGGGAAAGGGGCGGATCTCTGTGACGTATGACAGGTCGCCGTGTTTCTTACGGCGTATCCCAATAAATCAAATTGAACGTATAATCAAATAAAGTCCTGTTTAAGGTGGTGATATTTCTCTAGTCGCACATTAAAACAGCAGACAAGCTAACCGCAGTCTGTGCTGGAATAGAAACGTCCAGCGCTCAATTCAAACGGAGGAAACTCGGTACTTTTGAAACTTTCCCGCTATGCAAACCCCGTAAGGTGTTAAGCGTTGTTCAGCCGCCGCGGTGTGTGTGTGTGTATATATATCTATATCTATCTATCTATCTATCTATCTATCTATCTATCTATCTATCTATCTATCTATCTATCTATCTATCTATCTATCTATCTATCTATATCTATCTATCTATCTATCTATCTATCTATCTATCTATCTATCTATCTATCTATCTATCTATCTATCTATCTATCTATCTATCTATCTATCTATCTATCTATCTATCTAAAAATTCCCTTCTCACCCACTGCGGGTGGTTCTTATCCTCTGAGCTCGGGTCCTCTACCAGAGGCCTGGGAGCTTGAGGGTTCTGCGCAGTATCTTGGCTGTGCCAAGGACTGCACATTTCTGGACTGAGATGTCTGATGTTGTTCCTGGGATCTGTTGTAGCCACTGCTCCAGTTTGGGGGTTACTGCCCCGAGGGCCCGATGACCACAGGCACCACTGTGGTCTTCACCTTCCAGGCCCTCTCCAGTTCCTCCCTGAGGCCCTGGTATTTCTCTAGTTTCTCGTGCTCCTTTTTCCTGATGTTGCAATCACTTGGTATTGCTACATCTACCACAACGGCTTTCCCTCTGATGTTTATCCACTACGACAATGTCTGGTTGGTTCGCCATTACCATTTTGTCTGTCTGGATCTGGAAGTCCCACAGGATCTTAGCTGGCGTTCTCCACCACCTTTGGGGGTGTTTCCCACTTTGATCTTGGGGTTTCCAGTCCATATTCTGCACAGATGTTTCTGTACACTATGCCTGCCACTTGGTTATGTCGTTCCATGTACGCTTTCCCTGCCAGTATCTTGCACCCTGCTGTGATGTGCTGGACTGTCTCAGGGCCTCCTTGCATAACCTACACCTTGGGTCTTTTCTGGGCCTTTTCTGGGCCGTGTAGATCTGGGCCTCTATTGCTCTGGAGTTTAGGGCCTATTAGGGCCAGGATGAGGGCCTCTGTGCTGTCCTTGAGTCCAGCTTGTTCCAGCCGTTGGTAGGATTTACTGATATCAGCCACTTGGTTTATTTGCTGGTGGTACATCCCATGTAAAGGCTTGTCCTCCCATGATGGTATCTCTGGCACCTCAACCTCCGTTCCCTGTTGTCTGAGACATTCACTGAGCACATTGTCTGTTGAGGCTTGTCCCTGATGTATGACTGGATAGCTCAATACATAAGGCATCAGTATATCACCCGAGAGGGCAGGGTTCGAATCCAGTCTGGGTCCTTAGGCAAGACCCTTCAAGCTACTGCCTACCTCATACCATGAGAGATACTAAGTTGCATAACATGCCGGCTCAGACGTCGCCCGGCCAAACAAGGTCTGCGTCAGGTGTTGGGGAACCAGAGCACCTTGATGACAAATGGGCTACTGGAACAAGACGGAAATGGGCGAGAGATGAAAATGTGGATCTGTTGGAATGCTACTACTCAAGTAACCCTAGTGAGAGAGGTTACATGCAAAGACTGGGGAAGGAATGGTTACTTCGACATCCCCAGTCAACACTAAGCGCTAAACAACTAGTAGCTCAGTGTTCCAACATCCGCAAACGGCAACTGCTATCACAACTTGAGATTGACGAGATACAACACAAATGCTACGGCAAAAGGGAGGAACCCGGATGTCAGGACTGTGGGGACTTAACTACAAGTCCCCACCCAGTGAGGGGATACACGGCCCCAATGAGCGAAACAGAGCTGAACGAGACAGCTGCTGACCTGAGAGAGAGAATCATGACCGAATGACAACCAGGCCTCCCCGGCGCCAATTACAACGGCTGAGTGAAGTACCATCTGAAAGTCTCATTGAGAATGTGAATGCAGCATTGAGAACGATCCCTACCAACACCATAACAGAAACCAATGAGCTGATCTACAACTCAGCATCAGTGATCCTTGAGATACTTGGCTATAAGAGCAACCATGAGATCCAATACCCACCATGGAAAAGACGGTTAGAGGCTAAAATCAAGGTAACAAGGAGGGAAGTGAGCCAACTGTCAGAGCTCCACAAGGGTGCAATGAAAAGACCAGTACCAGAAAGTACAGGCAGATGCCCATACCTGAAGCACTCGAGACTGCCAAACAGAGGCTCCAAGCCTGGCCAGCCGCCTAAAGAGATACACAAGGGAGAATGAATCCAGAAGGATTAACCGGCTCTTCTCCACTCAACCAGCTAAGGTGTACTCTCAATGGCAGGGTAACAATAACAACAGAGCAGACCCACCAAGGCTGGAGACGGAACAATACTGGAAAGGCATATGGGAAAGGGAGGCGTCCCACAACAGCAATGCACAGGGCTGATCTCTCTACGAGAGGACCACAGCAACCTCCCTGAGCAAGCCCGGTAACCATCACTGTGACAGATGTCCAAGAAGAGTCTCAGGTATGAAAAACTGGACAGCACCAGGGCCTGACATGATCCATGCCTACTGGCTAAAGAAATCATGCTCTCCATGAGCGAATGGCAGCCCAAATGAACCAGCTGCTACAAAGTGGGACTCACCCTGAATGGTTAACTGAAGGGCGGACAATCCTAATCCAGAAGGATCCATCAAAGGGTCCAGTCCCACCCAACTACCGACAATAACCTGCCTCTCCACAACCTGGAAGCTCATGTCAGGCATCATAGCGGCCAAGATAAGCAAACACATGGATAAACACATGAGCACGGCACAGAAGGGTATCGGTGTAAATAGCAGAGGAGCCAAACACCAACTCCTCGTAGACCGCACAGTTGCCCGAGACTGCAAAACCCGACACACCAACCTGTGCATGGCTTGGATTGATTACAAGAAAGCCTATGACTCAATGCCGCATACTTGGATCATTGAATGCTTAGAGATGTATAACATCAACAGGACTCTGAGAGCCTTCATTGCAAACTCGATGAAGCTGTGGAAAACCACCCTTGAAGCCAACTGCAAACCACTTGCACAAGTGTCCATCAAATGTGGCATATACCAAGGAGATGCTCTGTCCCCGCTACTGTTCTGCATAGGCCTGAACCCCCTCAGCCAAGTTATCAACAAGACTGGCTACGGATATCGACTCAAAAATGGGGCCAATATCAGTCACCTACTCTACATGGATGACATCAAGCTGTACGCCAAGTGTGAGCGAGACATCGACTCACTGATCCACACCACCAGGATCTACAGCACTGACATTGGGATGTCATTCGGACTAGAGAAATGTGGTCGGCTGGTCACAAAGAGGGGGAAGGTCATCCACACAGAAGGGGTCTCACTCCCAGAAGGAACAATAGCAGACATAGAGGACAGTTACAAGTACCTAGGTATACCACAAGCAAATGGCAACCTCGATGAGGCCACAAGGAAAGGAGCCACAGCTAAATACCTCCAACGAATAAGGCAAGTCCTGAGAAGCCAGCTCAATGGCAAGAACAAAATCCGTGCGATAAACAGCTATGCCTTGCCAGTAATCAGATACCCTGCTGGAATAATTAGCTGGCCAAAGGAGGAGATAAAAGCCACAGATATTAAGACCAGAAAGCTATCTATATATATATATATATATATATATATATATATATATATATATATATATATATATATCTATATATATCTATATATTATATATATATATATATCTATATATATATATCTATATATATATCTATATATATATATGTATATATAAGTTTCTTTTTTCTTGTATATAGATATATAGATATAGATATATAGATATGTGTGTGTGTGTGTGTGTGTGTGTATATACATATGTATGTATATATATGTATGTACCTATATATGTATGTATACGTATGGAGCTCGCGGGCCGCCTCGCACGCGGTCTGAAGCGTGGTGCCTTCACGGTGCCGCCGGAAGGCGGGACTGTGGCTCCGCACTGCGATCTGTCGGTCGCACAGCTGGAAGGCGCTCCAGCTGCGAGCCGATGGCCGAGCTCAGCGGCGCGCCAACACACACCCACACCAAGTCGCTTCCGAGTGCGTCAGCATCACAGCACGTTGTGTAGGCTATTTATTTATTTATTTAAATCTCTCAAGAGGTGAGGATAATTATTAGAAAAGAGCAGCCGCACGGCCCGACAGAACAACAAGTACCAACTCTGAGAAGAGGAGCGAGCCGAGCGGAAATCGCCCGATGAGGCGTTGTGCGTTCCGCCTGTGAGCGACCAGCAGGTCCCCGAGCTCCCAGTTGGTGGCCGAGCTGACGCTGTGATGTGAGGCTCAACTCATCCGCCACTGTTCCCTCTGCAGCCCGTCCTCCCGGAGCATGGGACCCCGCGAACTCTGAAGGTAAGCACCGGGACCAGAACTTGGCTCCTTCGTGCACACACTGACGCCACTTCACGCATCTTTCACGCAGACGTAGAGTCATGTCTGAACACCGTCTTGTGCGGATCTGTTATTTGGAACGTATCTGTCGATCCAGAGGTTTGTTTCTGGACGTGTCTGCGTGCGCGTTTTCTAGAGCCTGATTACATCGCATGGGTGAGTGGAGGTTACTGTTAGATGGATCTACTTGTTGCTCAAAGTCAGTGACGGTGGGGTGTGCACGCTCACGCACACACACATGAAAGCACGCGCGCGCAAAATCACCCGGTGACTGTTGTTTGCAGGAATGACATGAACTTTCTGGCTTCCAGCAGCCATAATGTGAATGCTCGGGTGCTGCGGCTGCACCGATAAAACACATAAAGCTGCTTTATGATTGTCCGAATATGGAAGCTGGTTTAACGGGCCCTGAGAAGCAGAACTCCCTGTAGTGATGGAGGAAAGCAGGTCTGTTCCTGAAACCAGAGGAGGCTTCTTCAGCTTGGATCTGTCAATTGCAATACATTCCAGCTCTTCATTATTGTGTGTTTCTATTATTATTATAATTTTTATTTTTTTTAGGCTTTGCTGCTTAAGTTCAGCACAGAAGGTTAAACCTGATTTGCTCCCTCAGTCAGAAGCCTCTTGCTCTCCCACACCGAGCTGCAGACGCGCTCTGCTCGTGGTGATTTAAGGTGATTTTCTCCCGCCACCCTCAGCGCAGAGACGGATTAGGAGGCCGGGTCTGAATGCCAGCTTCACCCGCAGCGTCATCCTGCTGCACGTCGATCCGCTCCGGTGCAGGGATTTCCACTTGTCACTGGGTGTCTGCGTGGACGTTCGAGCGGGATGACAGTCGTGGCAATCTCCCGCAATTCTCGGGTTTTACGTGATGTCGTAAAAACATTATTTGCATTATTTTTTAATTTTTATTTTTTTCGTGTCACTGTTTATTAAGCAGATTGGCAGGAGTTACAGTGTGTGAACAAAAATGAGGCTACCTCATTATTTACGACTATTTAAAGCCTCCCGGAGCAGTGAAACATAACGCCACATTCCCGAGAAATAAGTTCAGTGGAGCTCTTGGCAGGACTCAGCTGCCTTTTACACACATTGGACGTTTCCGGTTGAAGTTTGTAGCTGATCAGTTAGCGTCTAAAAGAAAAATAACCTCATGAAATATCTGAACCACAAGTCATATTCAGGGTAGCGACGAAGTACTTTCTGAAGCGTATATATAGCTCTAACTTTACTGCTAACTTTGGCTAACCTGAGTATTTACAAGCCCCCTTGAAAGACTGAAATAACTTACCTACTATCTCTCCATCTCTTTGAAAGACTTTTATCATTGTTCCTCTTGTGTTTTTTATTTTATTTTAAATTTCTGCCTCTGAACAAGCAACACAATTCAAAAGAAAGAAATAAAAATAAAAAATGGTTTAGACCCAGCATATGTTACTGTTCTATCTTGTTTTTACCACCTGGAGCTGTTAGCGTAGCCTGCTAACATGTTAGCGTAACCTCCTAACATGTTAGCAGACTATGCTAACATAGCTTCAAAAATGGCTTCTCACCAATATAAAACGCTCCTTGACCAAAGCAGATATGAACCTGGCAGAATGAGGCTGATTTCAGATCTGCTGAGCCTCTGGTGTGAAGCTGTGTGTGACACATGTTTACCGTCTGCTTTCACTGCACTAGTTCAATGGTTGATTGTCAGCTTTGTGACAACCTCACATTGTTGCAATGTGGAGCCAGCCAGGCTACCTCATGTGTGAGTGCAAAATATTATTCATCAGTAAGCAAATTTTGCAAAAAAAAAAAAATTAGTTCATATATCTTTATGAAAAGAAATAAGCTGACAAAGCTGACAAGAAGTCAGCATTTAACAATGTGGAGAAAGTTTTGAATATTGCTGTGTGTGGCCTAAAAACTCATGACCCCGTGAATTATTTTGACTTTTTGTCCTTTAGAAATCAGACAGACTGAATAGTTTTGATCAAATGTTACAAATGACGCGAATAAACTGAACTTAGAAATTGTTTTAAGGTCTTAAACAATAAAACAGTAAAACCTCACTGGAGCGAGCAGAAGATATTGAAATCTTTGCGGTTTCAATATCCGCACCGATGCTGTAGATAGCATCGGTATATAAGACCGGCTTCACGTGAACGCATCGACGCCCCAAAATGAGGAAAAATTGGTGTTGATAAATCAGTGAACCCTGGAGTGATTATGTGGTATTTGTTTGGTCATGTGATAGTGATAGTGATGCAGTGCAAGATTAGGATATATTGAACCGAAGGAGAGAAGCAGTGTCAGCATCTGGTTGCTTTTTCAGTGTAAAAAGAGTTGGGAAACATATGTTATATTGGTATATGTCGGTTGTTGGCCATAACTGCAATATTAACATGGGTCATCAGTATTGGCCCGGTGCATTCCTGATGCCAAGTTTTCATTATTGAAGGTTGTGTTCACATAATTCTACCTGTTGGTGACCAGATGTTTTTAACCAGTCCTGACATCCGTATGGCAGAGGGCCAGGCTCTCATCATTACTATGATGACAGCTGGAGTCTCTTCCTCCTGTGAGGCGGAAAAGTCACTTTGTTATTTCCAGTGCAGCTGCTGATTATCCGTGCCTATTTTGAATTTCGGAACAGACTTGCTTTTGTGCACCCGTTCATCCAGGCCGGCGTCTGATTCAGAGGATGCAAATGAAGCCGCTGCTCCGCATTAACCATCAGACGGCGCCTGCCCACTCACACACCGACAAGTCAGCGGAGCAGGAAGCAACCCGTTCCCTCACGCGCTGGCCTCGTCTGATAGGCCGTCACCTCAGAGCTGCCCGTGGCCTCTGATCTCACGCATCCCCAGCCCTCAAGTGGTCCTTGACTTGAAAGATACGGGCCGCTTCAAAAAGGTCGGCTTCGCAAGGGACTCAGACGGCTGGCAGAATGCGGGGAGGAGACTCACAAAGCAAAAAAACTCTGCATCCCCGTTCCTGCTGGCTCGCCTCTGCTGCCGCAGAGCAATTACTGATGGCCTCTGAAGCAGCCACCCTTGATATTTAGCGTAGCTTCCCAGCCTCCTCCTCCTTCTCCCTCTCCTCCTCAACCTGCCGCAGTGTTGCACTTATCAGGAAATTCAGCCATAATTGGTTTCCATCGTGAAAGCCTGTCTCTGCATGGCGTCCGACCACTAGAAACAGATTTGGGAAGAGGAGGCGAAGAGGAAGGAACAAGGAAGAAATCGATCCAGAGTGAAGGCATCCCAGAGAGGAGACAGACAGCAGCGCTCAGACACGTGGGCTGGATGTTGGTCATGAGCAGGATCGACGCTGAGGCTGCGAGCTGCGAGCTGCGGCTGGCTGCTGGCCTTTTAATTGCTAATCCGATCGTTTCCGGTCCTGGAACTGTGCCCTTCATTTCCAGCAATCAATACACCTGGATTTGAGCCTCTCCTTTTGCTATTTGTGTGGAGTTGATTTTTTTGTGTGTTTTTTTTGGGAGAATCGATTTCTGTCGCAGAAATAAGAACGTACAAGCGTAGGAAGAGCTGGAGTCAGATTTAGTTTGACTCCCACCATGTTGGCAGAACAACAGCCGTGTTGAGAATCAAACATCACAGGGGAACTTTGTGATGTCTTACATGTAGAGTCAGAGCTCTCTCTCTCTCTCTCTCTCTCTCTCTCTCTCTGTCTCTCTCTCTCTCTCTTTTTTAAATGTGGAAGAGTGCGAGATAGCTACAATTCAGGTGGATGAAACTGTTGACATAGCAACACCACATATCTGACCTCATTAAAGATTGGGGCATTTAAAAATAAAAATGCCACAATAAGGCCTCCTTCCCGCTTGCCACAGGCCAGGCAGGGGACAGCAGGTTGTCTGGTCAGAAAAGACCAAAACGGAGCAATGTGGTCTACATGCTAAACACTAGAACTGAGATGGCGCAATAGTCTCAACGCATCAGCCGTGTTTTAAGACATGGTGGTGGAAGAGTCATGCTATTCATGCTGGAATGATCCAGTCAAAGTTTATGCCTTAAAAACCCAATAAAATAAAGAAGTTTGAGAAAAAGTCCAAAGAGATTAAAGTAGAGGTCCACCAGTTGCAGTTTTGTGGTCGATCATCAATCTTTAAAATATCTGACCGGCAAAAATCAATTTTTTTCTCTGTGAAGTTGCTAAATATAGCAACAAAGTTGCTAAATTGGCAACAGAGGAGAGACTTTTCTTAATCGCGCACATGTACACGTGACCCGGTGGACGGGGCAGTGACTGATTTTTCAGACTTGTGCAGATCGGTTGATGAGGGCGGATTCTCAGGTAAAAGCATCGGTTAATAGCCAATTTCCCCAAAATTAAGAAAATAAATTTATTGTTTGAAGGCGCTGTGTGTTTGTCTTTTCTCCTCTCTGTAGCAGATTCAGGATTAGCGGGAGATGGGAGAGTTTCAGTCTCCAAAAGACCCAAATCAAACCGAATGAAATCAGTCAGAGTAAAACACAATTAACTTAACTAAGTCAAGCAAGTAATTACTCCAGGCAGTGAATTACTGTGATGGTGGCTATTAGATGGGGCTTGGTTAAAGTTTCAGCTGACTGGCACCGATCTGTGCTACAGGTGTTGGGCGTCCACTTTCACAAAGGGAACCGAAAGCCAAAGTGGGCCTTGCACCAGCAATCACAACGAAAATTTCGTCAGACTCTGCACGACTGCACCGCCCGCTGCCTGCAGTCTACTCCACATTTCATGGAAGTCTGCCGAATCAGTTGTGCATTATGTGTACAGGAAACGGAGGGATTTGTGGCCCCAATCAAGGGCTGTGAGGAGTTTTTAAGGAGAGGAATACACAAACAGGAAGCAGCCATGACTGGATCCGGGCTGAATGAGAAACGTCCAGGGTTCACGTGTGAAACAAGTTCAGAGTGATTGTTGCAGGGAACCCGGCTCTGACAGGCAGCGGGAAGCAAAACTGATGA